GTCTCATCGTTGTTGTGGATGAGGCCGATCACCATTGTGTCGTCTGCATACTTGATGATGGGGTTTGAAGGGAGGGGGCTCAGCACGCAGCCTTGTGGGACACCGGTATTTAGGCTGAGGGTCATGGAAGAGAGATCATCCAACCTGACATGCTGGGGTCTGTTGGTTAGAAAGTCTAAAATCCAATTACAAAGGGGGGCGTCAATGCCCAGGTCGTTGAGTTTTGTGATTAGTTTGGAGGGGATGACGGTGTTGAAGGCTGAACTGAAGTCGATGAACAGCAGTCTTGCATAGGAGTTGTTTTTTTCCAGATGTGAGAGGTCGGTGTGAAGTGTTATGGAAACAGCATCTTCCGTGCTCCTATTAGTCCGGTATGCAAATTGATGGGGGTCCAGTGTCGGATTTATGAAATCCTTATTGCACTTTGGCGGACGATACACGACTGCGCAGAGTATTGGCGAGGCCAGGTTCAGTTCAAAAAGCTGCAACTCAAAGCTAGCGTAGTTAGTGACAGGGTGAAGTAATCGGCATTGGAGCCTATCTCTAAACACTGATGCTATGCCCCTTCCATGGCCGGTGGTACGGGGAGAGCTGAAGAATGTACAATCTGGAGGAAGAAGTTCGGAGAACGGTATATACTCGCCAGCGTGGACCCAGGTTTAACCCAACATAAAATCCAGTTCACGAGAGGTGAAGAAGTCATTTAGCAGGAACGTTTTGTTTGCTATCGACCTAGCATTTAGCAAAGCCATGCAAAGTTTTCGCTCCGGGCTGGCCGAAGGAGGTGTATAGCTGACGAATATGTTCGTGTTGAACGCCGCGCGGGCCGGGAGCAGTCAGTCCGGCAGGAGGAGCTGTCAGCGGGCCCAGCAGAGGCTGCAGCTCCGGAAAGACGGGGCGAATCCATCGATCCCTCACATGTGCATGATATCTGTCTGTGTTTGTGTGCAGACAGTGCGACATTAAGATTAAACACATTTCTTTCATTTGGGAACACCCACATATACATATAGAGTTGGCCAGATGTGTGTAAATTACTGTTCATGGTCATTTGAAAACAAATGCCGTTGTCGGACACACACAAACACACCGAACACACACAGAGAGCAGGGCTGAGTAGAGCACAAACACACACACATCATGCGCCTTAGTGACCGGGCATGATGACTATTACTAGTTTTATGAAGGAAATGTCCGAGACATCTCCTTCATAAAACGAGTAATAGGGGGATTAATCGGGCAGTTCGATGTGTGTAGAGGTGTGTGTGGTTAAAACTTAGCAGCCTGCGGTCGCTCTTTAGCTGTTCTAATGAAAGTCAACACAGTGAAGGCGTTGCGTAAAAGGCATAACTCTTTGCGCGCTGGTGCTGCACTTCTCAGGGTTACACGTCCCGCTGCCTCCTGGTGCTGTAACGATTATGAAGTTAATGAGAGTTCGAAATATACCTAAAATAATTTATGCACTGCCATTTCCCAACATAGACATTACAGTCTGCAATGAAAC